TGGCCGATGGTGTGACACCTGAGTTAGAACACAGCCTTGGCTGGTGGGTGCCCTCTCTAGACTGGTATCAGCAGCCTGTGTTGTACCCCCTTTCCTGTAAAAGGGGGTAACAGCCATCCACGATGAGGGAAAAAGTGGCATTTCATTTTTGGGGAATCCATGAGCTTCCCTTATTTCTGGCTCACAGAGGCAGCCATGAGGCACTATAACAAGTATTATATAAAAGCCATTAAATCTGAATGCCCTTGGACAAGCTTTTCTTAAAAAAAAAAAAAAAAAGTTTATATACATGTTTAAAATTTTTATTAAAATCCAAATTTTCTGGGTGTAAGCCCATGGAGTATATTGTGCCATGCACCACATATACGTAATATTTCGGGAGGGGATAGGGAGGGGAAGTTTCAAGGTTCAGATATTTTTAACCAATCTATATTTGAAATCATGCCATTAGCTTTAACAATGTTAAAATTGTGCGGTGTAAATATATCAGAAAATAAGCATATGGGGAGGCAGTAAATACTATTTTAAGCTATTAATTGTATGCTAAAAGCTTCTAAAGCACAAGTGCATATTTTTATACTGCTCTTTTCACAACTCTGTGATCTACATAAAGTCAGACTTGAGATTTTCTTTTCTCTTTTACCAGCCGATCCTTCCTATGTATTATATTAGACCCCATAAACAAACTTCGTTTTTCTTTCTCTATACTTCATGCTGCATTTTTAAAAGGTATAAACAGAGACTGAATTAATTGAATCAGTAATTACTTTTTTCCAATACAAATTGGAATGCAGAATACTTGGAACTTGTACATGGGGAAAAAATGACTTATCACTACATACTGTGCCAATGTTTTTTTCTATGTTTTGTACCAAAAATGGAAAAATATGACAATTCCATGCAAAGAAATGTATCTAAATTATTTTTGTTAGATGATAAGAGAACTTGCTTGGTCAGGACAGCAGCCAGCTTTGTATTGTAATGCTATATTATGTAAATGTGATGAAAATGTTTTTGTGAAGTACTTGTAACTAAATTCCTACAGCCATTTTTCATTCCCAACAGCTGTTTTTATTTTACCTCTTTGGCCTAAACTTTTCATAATTTCAAATTTGGGGTTTAGTGTCCTTTATTTCATGAGTCACACACTTTGTTTTCAGAGCACATTAAAATCAAGATGCCAGAATCCCATATTAAGGACCTAGCTAACTTGCCTAGGCTTCAGAAGCTTGCTTGAGGCAAGGGACAGTCCTTTTCTGATCATCTCACTTTCAGTTCTATTTGGTAAGTAACATTTATCAGGTGTCTGACATCTTCTACATGAAATATTTACAGCTTACTCAGTGTTATGTCAAATTTCATGTTAACTTCAAACTTTTTATTAGTAATGTGTAAATGTTTAAAAATGCTTTAAGACAGTTAGGTACTAAAGCTTCAACAATTTCTGCTCTTTACCAGTGTAATCTACATTATAATCTTCTGAGCTGCGAACTAGTCTATTCTTCCATATAGTCAACTTGTTAGAAATACAGGCTTTCAGATGGTGTTTGTATCAGATAGTTTATATTATAAAAACCACTATAACTGCCTCTTACATGGAGTTGTTTACTTAAATGACATGTGTTGAGGGGGCTGTATTAGGAAAATGCAACACTCTTTAATAATTTTCGTTGACTACTAAAGAGAGGGAGGAAGCTAGTTACAAAACATTGCTGGACCCGAATGACCCTATAATTTCCTAAGATCATTCTTTATTTCTAATTTAAGATTTTTAAATTTACTTGCCCTCTAAGTCAGGACTGGTTAGCATTCTGGGGCAAAAAAACAAGCTTATCAGTTCACACAGAACCTACTCAGCTGCAGAGAGAGAAACAGAAGGGATGATCCTGTGCCCCTGTGCTCTGTGAATATAGCCAGAGACTGAGGTAATAAATATATTTAAATAAAAATGACAAGGCATTTGTACACATTGTAACACTATGTAGTGTTACTTCTGCTGTTGCAAGTATCTTAAGTGTTGAAAGCTAAACGCAGGAAATGGAGAAAATGTACATAATATACATTGACCCATTATTCTAAATCGAAAGTCCAACTTTTAGGAGCAGTCTACCTGCAACTACTGAACACCATCAGGTTTGAGACCCTACGAGAATTTCCCATCATACTGTTATCCCCGATCTTTCTGACTTTAGGGCATGCATGAAAACAAAAGCAATCTAGTCCCTAGGACTGGAGACTGCCCTCTAGGACAGTTTTTCATGGCAGAAAATTAGAATACAAGTATACCTCATTTTATTGCATTCTGTTTCATTGTGCTTCAAAGATACTATCATTTCTACAAATTAAGGGCTTGTGGCCACCCTGCATTGAGTAAGTCTATTGGGGCATTTTCACAACATGGGCTCACTTTGTGTAAGTGTCACATTTTGGTAATTTTTACAGTATTTCAAATGTTTTTATTCTTGTATCTGTCATGGTGATCAGTGATCTGTTACTACTGTAATTGTTTTAGGGTACTGCAAACCATGCCCATATAAGACAGTGAACTTAATTGATAAATCTTGTGTATATTCTAACTGTTCCACCAACAAGCGGTTTCCAATCTCTCCCTCTTCTTGGACCTCCCTATTCCCTGAGATACAACAATATTGAAATTAAGCCAATAACTTACAGTAGCCTCTAAATGTGCAAGTAAGAGTCACGCCTCTCACTGTAAATCAAAAGCTACAGATAATTAAGCTTAGTTGAAGAAGGCATGCTGAAAGCCCAGGCAGGTCAAAAAGCCATGCCTCTTACACCAGTTAGCCAAGTTATACAAAGGAAGAGTTCTTGAAAGTGTTACTCCAGTGAACGTGCAAACAAGAAAGTGAAACAGCCTTATTACTGAGATGGAGAAAGTCTGAGTGCTCTATATACAAGACTAAACCAGCCACAACATTCTCTTAAGCCAAAGCCTAATTCTTCAATTCTTTGAAGACTGAGAGGTGAGGAAGCTACAGAAGAAAAGTCGGAAGCAAGCAGAGGTTGGTTCATGAAGCTATCTCCATTAACATCAAAGTGCAAGGGGAAACAGCAAGCAGTTATCCAGATGATCTAGCTAAGATCACTGAAGGTGACTACACTGAACAACTGAGTTTGTGAAGATGAAATGGCCTTCTATTAGAAGAAGATGTCATCTAGGACTTTCGTAGCTAGGGAGAAGTTCAATGCCTGCGAATGTAGCTGGTGCCTTTAAGCTGAAGTCAAGAGTTTATTTACCAGTCCAAAAATCTTAAGGTCCTTAAGAATTATGTTAAATCTACTCTGTCCATGCTCTAGAAGTGGAATAACAAAGCCTGGATGACAGCACATCTGTTTATAGTATGGTTTACTGAATATTTAAACCTATGGTTGAGAACTCAAATTTCTTTCCAAATATTACTGCTCATTGACAATGTACCTGGTACCTAAGAGTTCTGATGGAGATGTACAAGGAGGTCCGTGTTGTTGTCTGCATGCCTGCTACCACAACATCTATGCTGCAGTCCATGGGTCAAGGATTCACTTTGACTTTTAAGTCTTATTTAAGAAATACATTTCATAAAGCTGTAGCTGCCCTAACTAGTGATTCCTCTGATGGGTCTGGCCAAAGTCAACTGAAAACCTCCTGGGAAGCATTTATCATTCTAGATGCCGCTAAGAACATTCTGATTCATGGGAGGTGGTCAAAATTTCAATGTTAAAAGGAGTCTGGAAGAAGTGGAGCCTGAAGGTAATAGATGAGAAGTTGCTTAAGAATGTGTATAGAAAGTAGTTTCTGGAGACAGTCATTTCCACAGTGAAGGTGCTGTTAAACACCGTTGAAATGACAACAAAGGATTTAGAATATTCTATAAACTTAGTTGATAAAGGAGCATCAGGGTTTGAGATGACAGACTCTAAATTTTGAAAGAAGTTCTATTGGTGGGTAAAATGCTATTAGAAAGTATTACATGTTACAGAGGTACCTTTGTGAAAGGAAGTCAATTGATTTGGAAAACTTCATTGCTGTCTTATTTTAAGGAACTGCCACAGCCACCCCAACCTTCAGCAACCACCTTAGTCAAGACCCTCCACCAGCAAAAAGATTATGACTCACTGAAGGCTCAGATAGCATTTTTTAGCAATAAAGTATTCTTAAGGTATGTACATCTTTTAGAAATTTAAGACTGCAGTATAAACAAAAGTTTTATAGGCACCGGGAAACCAAAAACTAGATGTGACTCACTCTATTTGCAATACTTGCTTTTTTGATGTGGTCTGAAATCTAACCTGTAATATCTCTGAGGTATGCCTGTATAATGATGGAAGGAATTTGCTGTGGTACTTATAGTACCATTTGCTTCCAAAATTCATGTGATTTCTACCACTCCATTTGAATAGATTACTATCACTAAACACTAGCCTAGAACAGGCTAGGAAGTAAAACAGTTAAAAATCTATGACTCCCGTGTGTCATACAACTTAAGAAAACAACTTTACAAATGTATGGGCTAATACAGATTTTCTAAAGGAAAAAGCATGTGAGTAATGGGAGAAAGTCTTTTGTAATGGAGGTAGCTTAAGTTTTAATATTTCTCCATAAAACTTTTCATGACTCAATGTTATTTGGATTTAAAGTAGTCATATAAGCCTCTCTCATTCAGTCTTCAATTCCTGTTTTTAGAGCTGCTCAGTGATACTGGGCACTACAGAGTTAATTGCAAGGCCTTACCACATTGGGCTTCAGTTTCCTCATTTATAACATTATGCCATTGGTCTACCTAGATGACCTTAACTCTTCCAGTCTTTGACTGTAGGTAGTTGTGGAAGCAACTGTCAAAGCTAAAACTAGTAAAAAGAACTCTGAAGATTCCCTTTAGGGTTATTTGTATAATGAACACATAAATCTGTAGAAAGTTTTCCCTAAGAAGGGTCAGTCTGCTAACATCAGTCACATTGCCCTTTCTTAATCAGTAGTTTAAGAATTTCAATCTTTAATGTGTAGACTACTTTACTTTCTCATTTTTTTATTTTTTAGCACCAAAAGGAGAAAACATTGTTACAAGGCTGGTTATAGTGTCTCAATGGGCACTGCAAAGAACTACATAAATGAAGTCTGTCTCAAGCAATTCGTATTTGAGTCAGTGGTCAGATGGGGCAGTTGCGCTCAGCTGCAGTCTCTGACTCTGGAAACACTGTGCCTCTCAAATGATCTGGAGCTCATCCTTGGTGTACATGAGGGGCAGTTGTTGTTCTAGTACCAATTTAGCCCATGGCTGTTCAAGCCACTTTGCACTGGGAAAAATACACCCTCATAAGATTCCTATCCATTTGAGTTCATATAGGTTTTAGTAGCTAGAACTAAAAAACATTTTTAAATTATCTAAACAAATTGATACCCAAAAAAAACTTGCCATACATTAACAGTACATATGTTCATTTTTTTGGCTGAGAGATTCAAGTTTGTGCTATATAGAACACTAACAGTTACTATAAGACCAGGAAAATTTGCAGGAGAAAGGCTATTTTTAAACTTCACAATAATTCTAAAGGAAGCCAAATAATAAAACTTTGTAATAAATGCCATAACTTAACTATTACCTCTATTTGTACCTTTCACAAGGGTCTAGGTTCAAAATAAGCTCAAAACACAGCACTCACCACTTCAACAGCAGCTGAAAGTCAAATGGAAAACTTGTGGTATATTCTTTGGAGAATATACTAGGACCTGAGAAGCAACATGTTCCTGGTTGGTAGGTCCACAAAAACTTTAAATATGTAGAATTTTATGGACTGACAAAAAAAAATTACCAATTTAAGTGATCGATATATTAATGGTTTTCAAAGTAGTACCCGATATTTGATGTTCAAGGTTCATGCATGTGTATTTTTAATTCCTTAAACTAGACAGCAAGGTATAAGTCACCATTCTCCTCTAATTTTTGAAATAATCTTAAACTGCGCAATCCAGATTCTCGCTCTCCATTTTTCCACAAAATAATGAGATGATCAGCAGAGCATGTCACTAGTCCGTGATCTTCAAAGTATAGAAACATCTGTAAAGAAAATTAAAACTGATTATAGTGACCCTGAAAAGCAGAGAAGTGGCTAATACCACATTAAGACTCCTTTGGATCTGCGTGTAGAACTTCATTTTTCAGTATTGGTAACAGTCACATACAAATAATATCTAATATTTTAATCAGAATTTTGTTAATACTGTTCAACTACAGAATAGCTATTTTCGTAAAGTACATGAATTCCCATAGTTCTTCCAGATGTTTTCATAATCTGATTTTTCAAGTATTGGTTTTACTTAACCATTACTTATGTATAATGGCTATGGATAAAATGTCTGAATTCTAAATTTCCCAAGATAATCACTGGCTTCAGCTCTCTCTATAAAAGTAGATATACTCAATCCACAGGTATTGAATGTCAGAACTAGGTTTATGGTTCCTCCCTCAAGAAGATTCTGAAAAGCAAATCATAAATGAAACAATAAAGGTACCAATGAAAGATTATGTAATCAGGCACTAAATAATGCAGTACAGACTCTGACATGCCACAGAAATTCAGAAAAAGCTTCAAAGTGAGAAAATGCCCCAAGTAAGGGGAAGGGGCTTGTCCAGTGAAGGAATAGGCTGGAAGCTAAGAATAGGAAAACAGTGTTGACAAAAGGCAACATGAATACTATGGGGTGAAGAGTTGTATCAGAGAGAAGTGAACCAATGAAAAGGATGAGGTCCTCGAAGGAAAGGGTGAAATAAAAGAGAAACAGGGCCGGGTGTGGTGGCTCACGCCTGTAATCTCAGCACTTCGGGAGGCCAAGGTGGGTGGACTGCCTAGGTCAGGAGTTCACGAGACCAGCCTGGCCAAACATGGTGAAACCCTGTCTATACTAAAAATTAGCTGGCCATCTGTAATCTCAGCTACTCGGGAGGCCAAGGAAGGAGAATCGCTTGAACCCAGGAGGCGAAGGTTGCAGTGAGCGGAGATCACGCCATTGCACTCCAGCCTGGGCAACAAGAGCAAAACTCCCTCTCGGAAAAAAGAGAACAAGAGTTTTCTCTAAAATGACTTATACATTTCTGAAGACCACAGGAGAAGACTCAGCTGAGGATGCAGGAGTGAAGGGAGGAAATATGGGAGCAGAATTCCTTGGGAAACTGGAAAACACAAAATTCAATATACAGGTGGAGGGGTTGAGCCAGTAGAGCAAGGATGAAAATATAAAAGAAATGAGGACCAGCCCGGCCAACATGGTGACACCCCATCTCTACTAAAAATACAAAAATTAGCTGGGTGTGGGGGCGGGCACCTGTAATCCCAGCTACTCGGGAGCCTGAGGCAGGAGAATCGCTTAAACCTGGGAGGTGGCGGGTGCAGTGAGCCAAGATCGTGCCACTGCACTCCAGCCTGGGCAAGAGAGAGAGAGATACTGTCTCAAAAAAAATGAGGAAATTCAGGTGACACTGCAGAGATAGCCTAGGTTTTATCAGCAAAGCCAGAGATGCTTTTTAAAAATGTTCAGGTCTCAACACTTTCACTCAGGAAAATTCCTAAGAAGCTGACACTTATATAATGAGAAATGTGCCACATTCAAACACATTTGAATGTGTTTTACATGGGGTTTTCTCCACCATCTAAAAACCTTTTTTATGAGTTCCTACTATTTAAAAATATAAAGTCCAAACTCCTCAGCCTCAATGACATTCATAATCTGACCCCAAACCACATCCCCAGGCATAGGCTTTATCTCCTACTAGTGTCTGTTCACAGGAAGCCAGCACTCCAGCCTAGCCAAGGTGCTCTTTGCCACCACATTATATGCTATCTTTGCCCTTCTGTCTACCACAGTCCACGCTTGCCACCCAACCAGAAACAAAGTTAAAAACTGAGCTACTTGTTAGAGGAAAGCAAAGATAACTATGACACTGTACCCAATGTCAAGGAGCTTATGGTGACAAGGCTATATACTCATCCTACTAAACTTAAAGTATCAAGTCCCATATCCCTAACCATTTACAAGATTCAGCAAGAAATGTTTCTTCTGAGTCACTGCTGCTTACTTGGGTCCATCCTATGCAGCCTAGGGTCTATACCCCTTCTCTCCACTCAAGAGTAAGATCCATGAGGGCAAGGACTGTATCTATCTCTCTCTGTCAACTCCAGCAGCCAGTGTTTAGCAGTGCCTGTAATACAGGAAATGCTCACTAACAAGCATGCTGCCGCTGTTCCTCCTAAGCATGAATGCCCTTTCAAATGAAAAGAAGTTTGTTCTTCTTTGGCTATGAAACAGGGAAGAACAATTTAAGAAATTTCTTAGGGCTCTGATTATGCTGTTATCATTACACTGTTATTAGTTCTCACAACTAATCTGTTACCTCAACTGATCTTATTCCTTCACTGTAGGCAATGATGCCTGCAGCAAATATTAATGTATTTGGATTTCTATATATTAGAAGCTTATGCATTTCATAATTTTCAACTAAAATTTTCATATTTGCACAATGAAAATCAAGGCATAGGGTTTCATTAAAGATAACAAACTATTATCCTTCAAAGGCAGGTGAAAACAGGACTCTGTTCATAAATTTGATAAAGGCCCCTGGAATTCGATTCTGTTAAGGCTTTAACTGTATACACATAACCACAACCCTTCATGCATTCTCTGTTGACTGTTGTGTTATAGTCAGCATTATTCACACTACCCTTATGGTCAGCTATCTCCAGCTCATAAATAATGGTGATTAAGCCCATTCTTAAAAGCAATGCATTCCTTGTTTCCTCAAATCATATCTCCGGAAAGGGAAATCCTAACTGCACATACTATAGCCTATCCCATTCTATGTTCAGATCTACGAAAAAGTATATGCCTTTATGAGACCGACTGAATGAAAAGAGCAATGAAAAGGAAAAGCAGGAGTTGCCTGGACATTCTATGCCTGAAAAGCAATACCTCCACAGATGACGAGTGTCCAATCAAATCTCCAATAAGCTCCAGTGAACATGAAGTAGCATTTTCTTGCTGCTTTTTAACAGGTTGGCTGGCTTGTTTGTTGACTCTTCCAAATCCCCACATGTTAAAAAAACCTAGAAAAAGAATCATTTCCAAAATGACTGTGCTCTATACATACAATAATAACATGAGATCAGAAAAACAGAAAATTTAAATGTGAAGAGGTTCCCGACTTATTTTAGTCAAGGGCTAAGTGGACAGTACTGAGTTTTTGGAATATGTTATCTCATCTTTCTTAGCTAACCAGGTCTGTTCTTCATCTCTTTTTATTGCCCCTAGTCACCCACTGGTGAAGGTATATTAACAAAAAGACACTTGGAATAAAACAGGACAGAAACAAAGCTTGAATGGCAGTGTCTAACTGTCAAGGGAAAAAAAGGGCAAAACTCAGATCAACAAACAAGGCACGGGGGAAAATCTGTATGTGTATGTGCAAAAGCAACACTCCAGGACTTCAGGAACTCAAAAGAACCAGAAGCAACTAGGTACCAGCATCTGATTTCTTGTGCAAAGGTTGGTAACTAATTTATTCAACCCTTCAGAGTTTTGTTTTTCAAATTAAACACCTGGAAGTCAAGAGCTCATGCAATTATGATTCAAGCACACAAGGAAAAATGTATTTTTCCATAAATTGAGTTCAACATCAACGGTAAAGAACACTTTAGTTTGACATCTGACAGTACAAATTTTGTGTATCAGTCAGAACTAAAGACAATATAAATGAATACTTCATTAGGCCATTTGGTCATTCAGATGACCAGAAAGTAAATTTTCCCTCAATAAAGTCTCTATCTTACTTGAAATGAAGTGACAGTTCTACATTAGAGCAGCATTAAGCTGTAAATCCTAGATCTCAATTACCATATGCTTTCTACAAACACCTGATGCCTATTTGGAGCATTTCTATACTATTTTAGTGGTTTCACATAATCGCCCTTCTCCTGCCTTTCACGTGAGAAGAAAGGACAGAGAAAAAGACTACCTTTCTGAGAGAAGACACACCTGTTGGGACAGGCTCAGCTGCAAGCTGCTGTTTTTCTCTTAACTCCCAAATGCGTACACTGCCATCTTCTGAGCATGAGATTAACTGCCTGTCAGAAGAGAAAATCAGTAACACAAAGAGAGCGCACCACCGAGGACCAATGCTAAATTTGCAGTGAAAGAAATCAGTGGAGCCCTCAACTGCTTTTATTCAGCTCTTAGCAAGAACTGACAAAAATCACAATTTAACATGACGTTACAACACAAACTAAAAGCACCTTTTAGGAAAGCCACATGTTATACATTACATTAGCTCAAATGCTATAAATTTATTCTCTTCATTAAAAAAAATGCACTTGGGAAAACTGTGAATTGTACTTCACAATGTCCTAAGCAGCCCCCTTCCCTCCTCTTGCTACTCTCTTCTCTGGGTGCCTCTCACTCCAAAAATATCCTGCATAGAAAATAACGACATTCCCTGTCCATATGTTCGTCCCTAGAAGCTCAGCAGCAAATCTACCCTGAGAGGAAACCACTCTCTTAGTAGCCTCATATAACAAGGAGACTAGCAGCCATTTGATTCTGGACATAAACAAACAAAAAGAAGGTAGGTTTATGAGAAACATAAAAATTGGTACACTGTAAGTGGCCCCAAAGTCATTTTCATTGTTAAATACCAAATTTTAAATCATCTCTTCTTACAATGAAATTCGATGTAATTCATTTGAACCTTTCTTCTTGTAAATTCTGTAATTTACAGAATTTAAATTTAATTTAAATGCCTGAGACAGCCCTCAGGCATTCTCCATTTCCAAAAGAACACAGCAGGTCAAGCCATGAAGCCAGGTAACTTGGCCACTGGAGAAATTACAGTGGAAGCCCTGGGAACCGTGACTTGCTTTCATCTACTGCAGAACAGATGGGAACTTGTACCTGTTTGGAAGTTTGGCAATGTGCAGGACGCTGGAGTCATGTGCAGTTTTCTGGCAGGCAATCACACGCTTCATGTGAAGGTTATACACGTATAAACCCCTTCCAACTGCAGCAAATACATTCTAGGGGAGAAGTTCAGAAATGGGCGTAAAACTAGCACTCACCCTTCCTACTGTAATGGATTTCCAGCCCTCATGTGACATCAGAAAGCCACTGTTACCTTCCCCATTCCTAGCCTTTAGCCCAAATTACAGTACTAATCTCTGAAACCCCAAAATGTCAAAGCACTAAGGAAAGCTCCAAGCATTTAGAAGGTAGGACACAACCACTAATGGAGAGAAAGGTCTGCATAGTATATCCCTTTGCGCCACTTTCTTCCTCACTGAAATAGATCTAAAGAAAAGCTATAGCTGGCAGCCTGGCTCTGCAGTGGAAGCTGTTGAGGGATAATCTGAGTTTTCATTTAAATAACACTATATCCTTGGGAAAATTACCTAGCTTCTTCTGCCTGAAAAATGTAAGCAAAATTACTTGCATTCCACATCTTCAGCAATCAGGAGACCTACGAGTGATATGAAAAAGCATGGCTACAGTGGCATTATCATCATGCAATCCTCTGAAGGTTTCACAAAAACATTTTTCCAAATGTACTATTAGAAGAAAATACCTTTTTACTAAAACAACTTTAATCTTTTGAAAGCATTTCCACCAATACTTATCTCACTTCAGCCTCACATCTTGTTAAGAAAGGCAAGCATCACTGCCATTTGCCAGATAAGGAAGTTAAAATTAAAGAGATTAAAGTCACCCAAGAAATGAGACATGGAGTCAATATTAGAATCAAGGTCGTGTTACTCCAGTCCCTCAGTGCCTTGCTCGTTCCTCGCATGACAGACTCACATGCAGTAGTAGCCTTTGAAATTTTTGCTAGCACTTGTCCTACAATCATTCATTCTTAAGCCATAGATATCCCCATGAGGTAGACCTTTCAAATATCCCTACTTATTGCCTTCTTGTTTTGACCAGAGATTCTGGGCCCTCCATCCTTTCTCACACAGCCTCCAAGACTACAAACTCAACTCAGACCTATAGTGACTGAACCAAAGCTTGCTGGAATCTTAAATCTGGAATGATCCCCTTGATTCTCAGGATTAGTACTCCACAATCAGCAATGCAGCTGATGCCCAATGCAGGTGCATTAATGAACAGTGCTAGCCAATGTGCTAAAATGGAAAGCCCTATGGATTGTATTCAATGCCAACATCCCCCGAAACTTATTCTACAGACCAGGAAATCTAGGCACAGTTTAAGTAATTTATCCAAGGTCAGGAAAAAAATTAAAAACACAATTAGAGAATTCATGAGCTTTGGAGGCAGCATTTACTCAATGGAGACACTATCCCGGCTATCAATAACTAATGGTCCTTTACAGAAGGAAAGAACTCACAACAAAGAAAAATTAGGGAAAACTATACAATGCTTTATCCAGCATATATAGTAGAAAATAAACATCAATCAAAAAATTTAAGATTAAAAGAAATACAAAACAAAAAACTTTTAAATATTAATTTTTACAAAAGTGAGAAAAAAACATGTAACACTTAAAATACATAATTTGTAGGGCTACAACTCTAAGTGATCTAGTCTCCATCTTTTCTGAGACCATACTGTTTTTACCATGTATATTTAACTTTTTTCAAAATAAAGTTGGGATACAAAGAAACAATCTTTGAATATATTAGTATTTTTAAGTCCTGTTCCTATCCTAATCTCTTGTATTGTTTTTAAAGAGTGGTACAAAGAAAAATGGATCATATTCTCCCCCTGCCACAGAACACTACTACTGAAATTTTTAATAAAAATAACAGGCATGCTGTTAGAAAATCTAAACAGTATAGAAAGTCACAAAACAGAGAAAAGCCTCCCCAACTCCTCCTCCTCGAAGGGTACAACTCATAAACATTTCTTATAATTACATTTAGAAAAGTTAATTGCCCTTTAAACACATTTTCTGAGCCCCTGATGCTAAGAGATTTGTTTTTTAGATCAGAGATAAGATTCAGTAGTCCACTGGTACTAATCTGTTACAGCAAAACAGATCTCAAGTGCTTCAAGAGCATCACTCCCAAGCCCTATGGGATGGAAATCAACATTCTCACTCAATTTATCTTGCCCCAAGATGCCAGCAGACTAAGAGAAACATTCCTAAAATTTTAAATTTCCTTTGCCTCACTAAATGCACCAGATCTTCAAAATAATTCTTTTTCACTGTTTCTTAAAACAATTTTAAGCGTTAACCTCAAATCCAATGGGATTATTTAATCCAACCCAAAATTTCAATAGAGTTTTAAAATCTGTGCCCACTTAATCATTTACTTGCCTTGAGATTAGAAGCAAAGATTAAAATGCTTTTTTTAACACAAATCATACAATTTTAGAAAAAAATAAGACCATTTTAAAGCACAACCTGAAACCATGATGATACCCTTTTTATGTCCAACATGGGATTAAATTTTTAAAATCAGAAATTGGGTTTTTGTAAAAGGCAAGTTTATAGTGTACAGATTTTTTACCTCTTCATCACATGTGAAATGATGAATAGAAATGTCATTTGATTTTTGACAGAGCTTTATTTCTTGTTGGGTGTCCAGTTGTGGAGATGGGTCCCAGAAGTTGCGTTCATAGGCCTGCATGGTCCAGTCCAGCGCATCCCAGATGATCAGCTCTCCGATGTGGGAGCCGGTGACAAAACTCAAATCTAGGCAAAGTTCACATAGGCCTCATTATTGATCATTTTATCTAGGTAAAGGTAAAACTGAATGGAATGTCTAGTAGTAATGCTCTATAAAACCACAGTAATTAGAACAGTGAGGTACCTAGGCAAGCCAACAGAAAGATTAATATAAGAACAAGAAGGCCAGAAATAGACTCAAATTATCTTAGTAATTTAGTATGTAACAATGATTGCATTTCATTTCAGTAAAGAAATACCTCATGCTGGAATATCTGGTTACATTTAAGGGGAATAAAAGTAAAAGAACATCATCTTGGATCATCCACCAAAATAAGTTTCAAATAGATTAAAACATGAAAGTTACTTAAAGGATGGAAGAAAATAAAAGTGAATACTTTTATGAGTGTGGAGTGGTAAAGGGCTCTCATGGAAGCAGAGTGGGGTGCCAGGGGAAGAGATCCTAGTAAATAGCTGCTTGGCAAAACAAAAACAAAGACCAGGCACAGTGGCTCACGCCTGTAATCCCAGCACTTTGGGAGGACGAGGCAGGTGGATCACCTGAGGTCAGGAGTTTGAGACCAGCCTGGCCAATATAGCGAAACCCCATTTCTACTAAAAATACAAAAATCAGCTGGGCATGGTGGTGTGCGCCTTAGTCCCAGCTACTCGGGAGGCTGAGACTGGAGAACTGCTTAAACCTGGGAGGCGGAGGTTGCAGTGAACCGAGATCGCACCATTGCACTCCAGCCTGGGCAATAGAGCGAGACTCAGTCTGGAAAAAAAAAAAAAAAACCACATACACACACACACAAATACATTTAAATGACAAAAAGCTGGGAAAAAATTGCAACTTGGATGACAAAACAGGTTTATTATACTTGATACATAAGCAGTTCTTGGAAATTACTAAGAACAAGATAAATATAGCAGAAAAAAAAATGGGAAAAGGACCTGAAAAGGCAAAACAAATACAAATGGTCATTAAACATGTGAAAAGATGTTCAATTCCTTTAATAATCAAAGAAATAAAAAAAAGAGAGATATCATTTATTTACTTATGAATCAGGAAATATTATAAAACAGGAAAATATCCAATACAGTACTGGCAAAAGCATAAGAAATCAGCACATTCATGTACTGCCTAATACATTGGCTTTTTTTTTCAAAGATTAATTTGCTAATATGTATCAAAACCTAAAAAATGTAAATCTCTTGATCCAACAATTCCACTTCTAGGAATTTATCCTGAAGGAAATACATAAATGTACAAGGTTGTTACATACATATATGTACAAATACACAATCTTAAAAATCTGAAGATAACTACACATCGAATTGAGAATTGAATAAATAAGACATCAACAAAATGAAATAGCAATGCTGTTATTAAAAATTAAATTACAAAAGTATGCTTATCAATATAAGCTTAGATATGGAAATATACTTATGACATATTGTTACGAAACAGTAAACCATATGAACACACATGTACACACATACATATGCCCAGAAAATCACCTAGAAAGATGTGGACTGGTGTTTAATACTGGATAGTGGAAAGATTTTAACTTATATTTTTAATATTTTTCACTATTTTCATATTTTTCTACTATGATTACGTATAACTTGTACCAGTTTTTAAAACCTTTAAAAGTGGATTTTTTCCATTTTACATATTATATACTTTACACACAACATATTTAATAGAACATGTACAACTGCTAGACTTATTTCAAATAAATGTAATTTATTTAAATTATTACATATTTAGGGTAAGACAGAAGAGTATAATGCACTTAGTCTAGAAATCCATGTTCTGATTTTGGCTCTGCCTGTTGCTAGCCAGGTGGTCTTTAGGAAGAAGTTTAACCTTTATCTTGGATTCCTCATGCATTAAATGAGATGACTGTAAAAATTAAATTGAATAATAAACATGTAGCCATTTAAAAAAGACATGAAATGTTATCTTTGCGCCCCTGGTAGTATTTTGAGCCCCTGGTATTATTCCACATTAACTGTATTAAAACATCCTATTACTTGTTAATTTAGGAATACATAGATGAGTAATTATGATTTAATTATTTCATTTATCAAATAAACCAGCAAGACAGAAATCTCTAATGACCACACGAACAATCTCTTAAGAGATACAGAATTACCAGCAACCCTACATGTACACATTATTTGTCTTGGCTCCAAGGCTATAATAGGTAGATTATTAATATCTAATTTCTATAGTTTATTAACAGACTCTATAGAACTTACTCCGTGGAGAAATCACTTCTCATCTGTGGAGCAAAACGGGCTTCTAGTTTTAGTAGTGGGAAAGTTAAGGCAGTCCTAATCTTCCCAGGACCTTCTTTCCCACTCCTTTCCCTCCTTTTTCCAATTTCATTCAAACTACAAAAGAACCAGAGATGCTAAGGAGTGAAGATTCCCCTTGACTCTCACTCTGCATCTGTACTCATAACACAGAATTAACCTACTGAGACCATGCAGCTGCCTGCTCTGACTTAATCCTCCAAGTGTCTGTGATTCCTCCATGCAGTAGAAACAAAATATTAACAACCAGTTGGAATTTTCCCTAAAAATAAAATACTGTCATTCAGCTGAGTCAGCTTTTTTTCCCCCCCCCTTGAGATGGAGTCTCACTCTGTCGCCCAGGCTGGAGTGCAGTAACACAATTTTGGCTCCCTGTAACCTCCACCTCCCAAGTTCAAGCGATTCCTGTCTCAGCCTCCTATGTGGCATGTGACACCAAACCTGACTAATTGTATTCTTAGTAGAGACAGGTTTCGCCATGTTGGCCAGGCTGATCTCGAACTTCTGACCTCAAGTGATCTAACCCCCTCAGGCTCCCAAAGTGCTGGGATTACAGGCGTGAGTCACCGTGCCTGGCCAATCGGCACATATTTTTAAGCAGTTTACACATGGTAAACTAATTCCCAAATAGGTCATTCAAAATGTTTCATGACAAACAACCTCAATGATATATTATTAGTAGATGGATTTTCATCCTGTATCAAAAGCCACTTAGTATGAAAATCTCACCTGTTATCTGTCTATCCATCCCTCACAAGTACTAACACCTCATGATTACCAAAGCATGCTGGCAACATGATACAAGACAAGGAATAAAATAAAGGAGCACCCAGAGCCTTCTGCCTAGAGAGATTAGCAGTTATTTTTGGTCTGTCTTAGAAAACCTTCTGCCTGGGGCATTCCAATCTTTTTAGCAAACCTGGTACTCATTATCCACACTTGTTGGTGTTCTGTCATACAAGTTTAAGGTTGCCCTGGGGCCACCCCTCTGAAAATAAGACTTGCCCTGTGATGTACAATCCCAAGCAACTGGCCATATCTTTCATTGGTAGTGGGTGAGGAGAAAGGAGCAGAGCTGCAAGTGAAGCAGGGAATCATACAACATAAACATTTCAGGATCACTGACATCCACATCACAGCTAACATGCCTATGTACTGCAAGATGAGATTGTCAGTAAATCATTTTCAAATTTTAACAGACTACTTGGTCATGTTTGATTCCTAAATATACTTTTGGCTTATTTATTATCTGTAGTATAATTTTATAGTCATAGAGTTTATAAAGTAAAAAGTACTTTAAAAGTAAAAAATCCAAAAGCTAGAAGAAGACAAGAAATAACTAAGATCAGAGAAGAATTGAAGGAGATAGAGACATGAAAAACTCTCCAAAAAAAAAATCAATGAATCCAGGAGCCATTTTTTTTTTCTGAAAAAATTAACAAAATTGACCACTAGCTAGACTTATAAAGATGAAAAGAGAGAAGAATCAAATAGACACAATAAAAAATGATAAAGGGGATATCACCACTGACCCCACAGAAATACAAACTACCGTCAGTTAATACTATAAACACCTCTATACAAATAAACTAGAAAATCTAGAAGAAATGAATAAATTCCTGGACACATACACCCTCCCAAGACTAAACCAGAAGAAGTCAAATCCCTGAATAGACCAATAACAAGTTCTGAAATTGAGGCAGAAATTAATAGTCTACCAATCAAAAAAAGTCCAGAACCAGACGGATTCACAGCTGAATTCTACCAGAGGTACAAAGAGGAGCTGGCACCATTCCTTGCGAAACTATTCCAAACAACTGAAAAGGAGGGACTTCCTAATTCATTTTATGAAGCCAGCATCATCCTGATACCAAAACCGGGAAGAGACACAACAAAAAAAGAAAACTTCAGGCCAATATCGCTGATGAACATCGATGCAAAAATTCTCAATAAAATACTGGCGAACACAATCCAGCAGCACATCAAAAAACTTACCCACCACAATCAAGTAGGCTTCATCCCTGGGTTGCAAGGATGGTTCAACATATGCAAATCAATAAACATAATCCATCACATAAACAGAACCAATGACAAAAACCACATGATTATCTCAATAGATGCAGAAAAGGCCTTTGATAACATTTAACATCCCTTCATATTAAAAATTCTCAATAAACTAGGTATTGATGGAAGGTATCTCAAAATAATAAGAGCTATTTATAAGAAACCCACAGCCAATATCGTATGAATGGGCAAAAGCTGGAAGCATTCCCTTTAAAACCTGGTACAGGACAAGGATGCCCTCTCTCACCACTCCTATTCAACATAGTATTGGAAGTTCTGGCCAGGGCAATCAGGAAGGAGAAAGAAATAAAGGGTATTCAAATAGGAAGAGAGGAAGTCAAATTGTCTCTGTTTGCAGATGACATGATTGTATATTTAGAAAACCCCATTATCTCGGCCCAAAAACTCCTTAAACTGATAACCAACTTCAACAAAGTCTCAGGATACAAAATCCATGTGCAAAAACCACAAGAATTCCTTTAAACCAACAATAGACAAGCAGAGAGCCAAATCATGAATGAACTCCCATTCACAATCACTACAAAGAGAGTAAAGTACCTAGGAATACAGCTAACAAGGGATGTGAAAGAGAACTACAAACCACTGGTCAAGAAAATGAGAGGACACAAATAAATGGAAAAACATTCCATCCTCATAGATAGGAAGAATCAATATCGTGAAAGTGGCCAGACTGCCTAAAGTAATTTATAGATTCAATGCTATTCCCATCAAACTACCACTGACATTAAATTAGAAAAAACTATTTTAAATTTCATATAGAATCAAAGAAGACCCCGTACAGCCAAGACAATCCTAAGCAAAAAGAACAAAGCTGGAGACATCACGTTACCTGACTTCAAACTATACTACAAGGCTACAGTAACCAAAACAGCATGGAACTGGTACCAAAACAGACATATAGACCAATGGAGCAGAACAGAGACCTCAGAAATAACACCACACATCTACAGCCATCTGATCTTCAATAAACCTGACAAAAACAAGCAATGGGGAAAGGATCTCCTATTCAGTAAATGGTGCTAAGAAAACTGGCTAGCCATATGCAGAAAACAGACACTGGACCCCTTCCTTACACTTTACACAGAAATTAACTCAAGATGAATTAAAGACTTAAACGTAAGACCTAAAACCATAAAAACCCTATAAGAAAACCTAGGCAATACCATTCAGGACATAGGCATGGGCAAAGACTTCATGACAAAGATGCCAAAAGCAATTGCAACAAAAGCCAAAGCAGACAAATGGGATCTAATTAAAAAGAGCTTCTGCACAGCAAAAGAAACTACCATCAGAGTGAAAAGGCAATCTACAAAATGGGAGAAAATTTTTGTAATCTACCCAACAAAGGGCTAATATCCAGAATTTATAAGGAACTTTAATTTACAAGAAAAAAACAACCCCATCAAAAAGTGGGCAAAGGATATGAACAGGCACTTCTGAAGACATTTATGTGGCCAACAAACATACAAAAAAAAGCTCAACATCACTGATCATTAGAGAAATGCAAATCAAAATCACAAGATACCATCTCACACCGGTCAGAATGGCAATTAATTAAAAAGTCAGGAAACCACAGATGTTGACGAGGCTGTGGAGAATAGGAAGAACACTTTTACACTGTTGGTGGGAGTGTACATTAGTTCAACCATTGTGGAAGACAGTATGGCGATTCCTCAAGGATCTAGAACCAGAAATACCACTTGACCCAGCAATCCCATTACTGGGTATATACCTAAAGGACTATAAATCATTCTACTACAAAGGCACATGCACATGTATGTTTACTGCAGCACTATTTACAACAGCAAAGATATGGAACCAACCCAAATGCCCATCAATGATAGACGAGATAAAGAAAATGTGGCACATACACACCATGGAATACTACGCAGCCACAAAAAGGAATGAGATCATGTCCTTTGCAGGTACATGGTCATGAAGCTGGAAGCCATCATCCTCAGCAAACTAACACAGGAACAGAAAATCAAATGCCGCATGTTCTCTAAGTGGAAACTGAACAATGAGAACATATGGACACAGAGAGGGGAACAACACACACCAGCACCTCTTGGGGGTAAGGGGAGGAAACTGAGAGGACAGGTTGATAGGGGCAGCAAACCACCATGGCACAAGTATACCTATGTAACAAACCTGCACATTCTGCACATGTATCCCATTATTTTTAGAAGAATTTTTTTAAAAAGATCATTTAAAAGGCAGTAAAAAGTATATGATGCTTTCTGTAACTTTCATTAACAATTTTTTCTTTAGTTTTCCCTTTTTTCCCCTTACGGATTTGGCAAAGGAATACTTGAAGAAAGTTTTCAGAAACTGCTGTAAGTTCCTCTGTGTCTCACATGGTAAAAGAAGTGCCATGAGGTTCAGGCTATCTAGTACCATCCCATCGTCTTCATTTCAGTAACCATGCTGGCTCAATAGTACCAGTGCTTCGCTGCTAAAACAAAGTAACTACGCGTGACCAGTGTAATGGGCCAAATACTGCTGGGCTTTTCTCAGCAGCCCTGGGAACTTGAGACTTAAGACTCAGTGTCACCAATGAGGCTTCAGAGGGCTTCCCAAGTAAGAACTTGCCTTTTGTGCTATGTCTCCATCCACGGCTAGAGAACAAGAGCCCCCAGAGAACATTAAAGGGACACCAGCAACCACTGTTCTATTACCACAGACAATCTAGTCCTTAGAAAGACCTGCAGCTGGGTTTTACAGTAAGATGGCTATTAGGGAGGAAGATTTTGGAGCTGGGAGGGACATTCTTACTGGTATATCTGAACACATGACTGAATGGACACAAATGGAGACTAGGCTTGGTACTCTCTGTGCCCCTTGCTCCCCTTTGTCTCACGCTTACACAAAATACTGCTTAAAAACAAAGCCGGCCAGGCTCGGTGGCTCATGCTTGTAATCCCAGCACTTTGGGAGGCTGAGGCAGGCAGATCATGAGGTCAGGAGTTCGAGACCAGCCTGGCCAATATGGTGAAACCCTGTCTCCACTAAAAGTACAAAAATTAGCCAGGCGTGGTGGCATGCGCCTGTAGTCCCAGCTACTTGGGAGGCTAAGACAGAAGAATTGCTTGAACCTGGGAGGCAAAAGTTGCAGTGAGTCAAGACCGCGCCACTGAACTCCAGCCTGGGTAACACAGGGAGCCTCCGTCTCAAAACTAAAATAAAATAAAATAAAATAACAAAGCCAAGCCAGGCCTCAGGGAGATATGTTGCTGGGGTGCTGTCTAGTCCTTCCACTACATCGTATTCCCAGCATCCTTACAGGAGCGTCCTGCAGGCTCCACCAGACTATCAAGAGTCTGAAGCCACCAAGAGTCCTCTCACATGACTTCATACACAGATCACCCAGCACAGTTCTGATGATATAAGCTGTCACTTATTTGCAAGTGAACTGAATGTCAAGATCAGTGGTTTGTGATCTTGCCATCTGATGTCAGATTTAGCTCACAGGAGATACTCATTAAAATCATTTAGGAAGCCAAATAGGATGTACAGCAAGTCAAAACCCCCACCATAAGGAAGGGAAGACATGACCCATTTTCTGCAGACTTTTACTTTAGTTTGGTGTTATTGTTTGAGAGTCTTCAATCAGGATTACAACTGGCTTGAATCCTGCTCATTCTAGTGTAAGTGTATATGCTGTGTGATATTGTATGGTGTGGACGGCAAGACAAAAGGGCATATTTCCAATCTCTTTACAAAAGAGGAACTAGCCAGAACCACCTGCCAAAAATGCTGAAACAGCCTGTGACAGTCATCCCACAGCTACCAAGCAGCGCCTGAGATTATGTTCTCCTCTATTTTCTTTTCTCTGCCTTACTCTATTTTCCTTGTCCCTAAATCTTAGACCTAGCAATCTAGGGAACTTGCTCAGCTCCACTGGCTAAAACTTCAGAGTAAAAGAGAATGACAATGCCTACTAATCTAAAGCATTATTTTAATGACTTATGCTAGAATCCCAGAACAAAGCAAGGCTCATGGTTCAGAGCAGGTTGTGTTAACAGGCACAAAATTGTACACAATAAATGTACACAATGAGCTTACCATTGACATTAATCAATGAGAGAATATTATCCTGGTGATCAAGAAGGTGCTTAATTTCAAGAATATCCCATTCTAGTGATCCTTCTGTGGGTGCTACCAACCTGAAAATTACTAAATGAAAAAGACAGATAAAATTTTATTACAATGTTCAGAGGATAAAATTCCACTTCTTCTCTAAAAAAAAGCATTTCATTAAGTGAAAAATACCTACCATACTGAAAAACCCATTTCCAAAAAACAAAAAGCCATATTCATACTACTTTAAACTATTTCTTTCAAATGCTTGAGATGTTTGAGATGATCTACTAAAACCCATACTGAATGTGTCCTGAAGAACCCTCTTCCTTTACTGACTTTTCCAAACACTGAAGCTCCCTTTCTCTAGGGTTTCGATGGATGTCTGGCTATCTCAACTCACTCACTCCCTAGCCAGTGACTAGCCCACATTCCTGAATCACCTCCACCATCAGCTTTCTCTACTCATGCCCCCAGGCCAATAAGCATTACTACAGAATAAGCTGCAAATCCAAGCTTAACTTCAACTCAGTAAAGACATAAGCAGCTTCTTTTTTAAAAAGTTTTTGATTCCTAGGCATATACCATTAAATTATAAATTCTCTGAGTATGTCTTATAATGTTTATATGTCATGCAGTTCTTTTGACTATAGTAATGTTCAATGTGTTGCTTTTCTCATTATCGACTTTAACAAATACAGTTTTATTTAAACTAGTATAAATCCTAACTTTAATCAATGCACAAAACCCATAATAAAATCTACTGACGTGATTCTATCAACAGCATTTACTAAACATTTATGTTCTGGGAACTCTAGGTACCAAATGTGAATGAGGGCCAGTCACAAATGCTCAGTCCAGAGTGGGAGAGAGACTTGTTTATAAACAGGCTTACTGTCAATATACTGAGTGTTTAATACCCACTGGACCAAGTGCTGTGGAAGCTCAAAGACTAGGATGACTACCACCTGAGAAGTGACAAATCTCAGAGATCATGCCCTTTTCAAATTACGAAAAGTATCTTTTCTTTCTCACATTTCTCTCTGGAAGACAGGTCATGCCATGCTTCTTTCTGTGTCTCCGACAGTATTTTACCAAACTACAAATCTCTAACAAGGTTATTTAATCCTGACAGCCACTGTGGTTGTCAAAAGAAGATTTCAGTCAACAGAAAAGAGAACTCTTTCTGATACACATCGAACTTATGGGAAATTCTACTTTAGGTGGAATATTATGAAGTGATCTTGAGACTGGAATTTTGGAATAAGAAGCAATATACTGTTTAACCAAGCTAACATACTGATTAAAAGACTGATAAGAAAAAGAAACCTGGCCTAACATCCTGAAAATGTCTCAGTCTCTGTACCACTTCAACGATCCCAAGAAGCCAAGACTGGGGCACAGGGAGATGTCCCTTAAATAAAAAACAAATTAGTCTTTCCAGCACGTGTATACAATTCTCATTGAAAATATACAAGAAGAAAAAGAGAAAGAAAAAAATTCATACTCACTCAGTTCTTTGCCAACTGCTGCCACAACACAGTTCTTAGGTATTTCAACCAAAGCACTAATACCTCCAAAAACATATAAAACAAAGGTCAAATTATTTTTCTCACAGATTATATCAAAAACAAAAACATTCTCAGTTTTATGTCAGTCGTTTTCCATAAAGAAGATAAAGCACACAGAACTCGCTCCACACACACTTCCGCGCTTGCTTACTCATGGAAAACGATTTTGTTAAATGTAGGTTTCTGAGACTTTTGGAAGACATTATTGATTTATTAAGAGCAGAATATGGAGTTGTTATTTTTTGTAATTTTTTTTTTTTTTTTTTTTTTACTGTGGTGATAAAAGTGGTAGATTCAGCCATTCAAACTTATTTACAAGGGATCCCTTAAGATAATCACCATTACCCATTTACAAGATGGCTAGCTCAAAAGTGATGTAAAATTGGGGTTTTCCTTCCTGTAAACTTAAGAAGATTGAGCAGGCTCCCTGGCGCTGAACGAACTAGCCAACAGTCAGCAGCTAAGAAAGCGGCCTTCAAATAGCATGTCTGTGGATCCATTAGTACACGTACAAATTTTCTTCTATTATTGAAAGAATCAGATTCAACATTCTAACACACTTCACTTATTTAAGTAAAGAGGTCTGAGTATCTTTTCATAGCCAAATCATGATTTTAGGGTAACTATAACTTCTACAAGGCATGTTACAATTTTACTTCTGTGGGCATGAATAAAAAAGTTGATATATTAGAACCACTACATGTTGGCAAAAGAAAAAAAAAAACCTGTTTAATTTTTCCATTATGATATGTATGTAATTTACAATATATATATGCAAGTGTGGAAAATGGTCTACTCATTTGCTTATCCTTCCATCCATCAAAGGACTAACTGTTGTGATTTGGACAGTATTTCTGGCCAAGATTTTTCTCCACATAGGCGTGTTTTAACAGTAGGATTTGTATTTTCCCATGTACAAGGAGGAGGAAATGGTGCTGCAAGGAAGGCAAAGGAGTGGTACAGAGAAGGCAGAGGACATGGGAGAGCAGCAGGGTGAGTAGCAAGAGAAGAATACTAAATGCAGAAAACAGCTTGTTTAAAAATATTTCACTAACTTGTATGTGAAAATTCTAGAAGCCCAACAATCCAGAAGTAGCAACCTAATACTCAGAATCACGGAACATATTGCTGGAAAGGACACGGATGCCCTGTGTTTTAGTCCAGGGCTCCTTCCATTGTATCACATTGACTAAGATTATCTTTGCTTATTTCCAAACACAGAATAACTGCTTGTAAAAGCTCCATCACCAGTCCATAAATCAAGCAGGGCTTATGAAAGGACATCATGGCATAAGGGTCTAATAACACTGTTAACAATCTGGCCTCCGGTAATGCGGAAAACCCAAATGACGAACAGCTCACCAGTGGTAACCCACGGCCTTCTCAAGGCTTTCCCACAGATACCTTCAGAGCCTCTGTTAACTCTTGAGACACTGATGAACGGCAGTATTGTGATGACTTAATATATAGTACTTAAAGATAACTTGCAAAACAAAGGGAGACTGCAATAAGAGGTGGCTATTTCCAGGAACACACAGAAGATTCTTTTCAGCCCCGATTTCAACATTTTACAATATAACTTTACCAAAATAAAATTCATGAAAACCACAGGCTAGTGAAAGAGAGAGGAAAATGAACATAAAGATGTATAATTCATGGTAATAGTACACAGGGAAATATATTCTAGATTTGAGCAAGATTATTAGTAATCAAATGTTGAACTGAGTGGTTAAATTGTAAACCCTAGCAATGTATGGATTTAGTTTTCCTAAGTCATTATTTTTCTGATACTTTAAAATATCTATGTGGAGCTAAGCTAGCTCCTATTAGTAACCAAATTCAATTCACAGGGCTCCTGCTACCATTGAAATGTCAACAACGTGCACGATAATGTTCCTTTTAGGATAACCAGGCTCATTTGATTATTTTTAGAAATAACGATAGTTAATACTGTGACTTCAAGGTTGTTATTAAAATCTACCCATTTATATTTAAATATTTTACTCTAAAAATAGATTTTATTTTTTAAGATCCTTGGTATCAAAAAGTCAAAACTGATTTATTTTTTTTCTGTTGAAACCAAAAGCACATGCACACAGAATTCTGAGAAAATGAAACTTTATCAGTAAGCTGGCACATGTATGAACTTTTTGGTAAGGACAATTGTAAAAAGAGGTCATCCTTAGGCATTTATTCAAAGTTAATGACCCCACAAATGCTACTATAAAGGTGTAAGGGTCTGCTTCTAGGTATCAGCGTGCTTATCAAACACAGTTCAAGAAAATAGCCCAAGAGCATTGGAAAAGGTTGTTCTTGAGAAATTCTGTTAGAAGGGAAGGGGAAGCCGAAAGGAGTGGAATCTTCTTCTGATTCAGGATAAAAATATATTTTACACAACCCCTGATCTGAATTGAATATGGCTACCTGTTATCTTCAGAACTGAAAAGAAAAATCCCCAATATTGACCTTTCTACTTATGGAAAGTCTCTCTGAAGATCTGCTGTGTCTTCCAGAGTCTGTCAATCACAGTTCAAAATTACCTTGATTTGTTTTTTTACCTGTATCAGAAAGGTGGCTAGTCTTACACAGGAGATCTAATTTTCGGTTCCACACACACAGGTCATTCCCACCAGAAAGCCAAACATCTAGTCTCTGAAGAACAGTTAAACACTGCAAAATGTATTTGAAATGTATATCAGGTTAGAAACTCAAGCAGTCATTGTTCAGTGGTTTTAAAATATATCCCCAAGTTCTTTAACCCCTTCCTTCAATAGGTGGAGCTTATTTCTCCTTAGTAGAGCATGTGGGCACTACTAAGTGACTAGCTTCTACCAAACAGAATCTGGCAAGAGGGATGATGTGTGACTTACAAGACTAAGTCATAAAATACACTGTGGCCTCCTCCTTATTCTCTCTTGGATCACATGCTCTAAGGTGAAGACACTAAAGCGGTCACATGGAGAAAGGTTCATGAAGCGAAGAGCTGAGGCCTCTGGGCAAAAACCAGCACTAACTTGCCAACCACATAGGTGAGCCTCCTGGGAGGGAGCTCCTCCACCACAGTCAGCCCTTCAGATAGCAGGAGCCTCAGGAGAGGCCCTGAGCCAGAACCACCCAGAGAAGATGCTCTCTAGTCCTAATCACAAACACTGTGAGATGACAAATGTTTATTGTTTTAAGACACTACGTTTTGAGGTTATTTGTTACTCAGTAATAAATTACTAATACACAACTGCCTCAACTCCTTTTAAAATCAAACTGAAACTATGACCTTAGTTTCTCTGTATCTTTAGAATAAATAACGCCTAAGTCTTCTCAATTCTATATATTTGGTAGACTCAGGAAAGTGAGTGTTTCAAGTACCATATAAGCCTTTAATAGTACTCTCCTTGTCCACTAACTCTGAGTCAGACAAGGCCAAGAGCAAGGGAGAAGAACAGAAAATAAAAGGCAGAGGTTCTGGTAATCTTGCCTAGGCTGAGCAGGGCTGCTTTTAAAACTGTCAGGAGATCGAGACTAGCCTGGCTAACACAGTGAAACCCCGTCTCTACAAAAATACAAAAAAAAACTAGCCGGGAAAGGTGGCGGGCACCTGTAGTCCCAGCTACTCGGGAGGCTGAGGCAGGAGAATGGCGTAAACCCGGGAGGCGGAGCTTGCAGTGAGCCAAGATCGCGCCACTGCACTCCAGCCTGGGTGACAGAGCGAGACTCCGTCTCAAAAACAAACAAACAAACAAAAAACTGTTGGATTAAAAAGAATTGAAAATAACCAATGCAGTTTATATTTCTAGTGCTCCTACTCTGTCTAATCTCTGGATTTTTTTTTTTTTTTTTTTTGAGACGGAGTCTCGTTCTGTTGCCCGGGCTGGAGTGCAGTGGCTGGATCTCAGCTCACTGCAAGCTCCGCCTCCCGGGTTTACGCCATTCTCCTGCCTCAGCCTCCCAAGTAGCTGGGACTACAGGCACCCCCACCTCGCCCGGCTATTTTCTGTATTTTTTTAGTAGAGACGGGGTTTCACCGTGTTAACCAGGATGGTCTCGATCTCCTGACCTCGTGACCCGCCCGTCTCGGCCTCCCAAAGTGCTGGGATTACAGGCTTGAGCCACCACGCCCGGCCTAATCTCTGGATTTTTAATGCTAGTGTTTCATTTCTTTTTACTGCCAAATAGTATTCCACTGTGTGGACATACATTGTGTTTATTCATCAGTTGATGGACATATAGGTTGTTTCCATTTTGACAATATTGCTATGAACAATTATGTATACATTTTTATATGAACTACATTTTCATATCTCTTGGGGATATACCAAAGAGTGAGACTGCTGGGTCAAATGATAATTCTGTTTAACTGTTTTCCAAGGTGGCTGTATTGTATCATTCTAGATCCCACCAGAAATGTATGAAGGTTACAGTTGCTCCACATTCTTACCAACACTTGTCTTTTACATATTAGCCACTTTAGTATATAGGAAATAGTATTTCACTGTGGTTTTGACTTGCATTTCTCTAGTGACTAATGATGTTGAACCCTCTTTTTCATGTGCTTATTTGACATTTGTTTATCTTCTTTGGAGAAATTTCTTTCTTTCAAATCTTGTCTATTTTTAATTGGAGTATTTGCTTTTTTACTGAATTCTTCATAGATTGTAGACACAGTCCCTTATCAGATATACGATTTGAAAATATTTTCTCCAATTCTGTGTGTTGTCTTTCCACTTTGAAGCACAAAAACTCTTCATTTTGATGAGGTCCAATTTATTTTTTTGGTGGTTGTTGTTGATATGCTTTTGATGTCATATTTAAGATATGCCCATATTTAAGATGCGCCCAAGGTCACAGAGACGTACTCCTTTATTTCTTCCAAGATTTTTGTAGTTTTAACTCTTACATTTGGGTCTTTGACCCATTTGAGTTAACTTTTGGATATGACATGCAGTAGGGATTAAAATTTCATTATTTTGTATGTGGATGTCCAATTGACACAGCATCATTTTTTGAAGAGACTATTCTTTCTTCCATTAAAGGTTCTTGGCACTCTTGTCAAAAAATCAATTGGCTATGTGAGGCTTTACTTCTGGGCCTTTAATTCTATTCCATTGATCTGCATGTCTATCACTATGCCAAAACCACACTGTCTTGACTACTGTAGCTTCATATTAAATTTTGAAATTGGGAAGTGTGTCTTGGAACTTTGTTTTTCCATTTTAAGACTGTTTTGGCTATTCTAGGTCCCTTGCACTCCCATATGAATTTTAGGATCAGCTTGTAAATTTCTCAAAAAAAAAAAAAAAAAAAAAAAAGCCAGCTACAATTCTGATAAAGATTGGGTTCAATCTGTAGATCAATGTGGGTGGTGGTGTAATCGTAACAGTAGTAAAATTTGACCCATGCACTCAGGATGTCTTTCCATTTATTTAGATCTTTAATATCTTTCAACAATGTTTTATAGTTTTTGGTATGTAAGTCTCATACTTCTTCAAATTTCTTTTAATAGTGATGGGGTATTGCTATGTTGGCCAGGTTAGTCTTTAACTCCTGGTCTCAAGCAATCCTCCCACCTCAGCCTCCCAAAGTGCTAGGATTATAAGCATATGCCACCCCGCCCAGCCTACATCCATTTCTGAGTATTTTATTCTTTTGGATGCTACTGTAAATGGAATTGTTTCTTAATTTTTGGAATGTTCATTGATAATGAACAGAAATACAATTGATTTCTGTATGTTGATATTATATCCTGAAACCTTGCTAAACCCATTTACTAGCCTCAATAGTTTGGTTGTGGACTTAGGATTTTCTATATACACAAGATCATGTCATTTGGGAATAGAGATAGTTTTAGCTCTTCCTTTCCAATATGGATGTCATTTATTTCTTTTTTTAATTGCCCAACTGCCCTGGCTAAAACCTCCAGTACAATGTTAAACAGATGTGCTGAGAGCAGACATCCTTATCTTGTGCCTGATCTTTGGGGGAAATTATTTGTCTTTCACCATTTTTTTATTTTATTTTTATTTTTTTTTTGGAGACAGGGTCTTGCTCTATCGTCCAGGCTACAGTGCAGTGGCACAATTACAACTCGCTGCAGCCTCAAACTCCCGGACTCAAGCGATCCTTCCACCTTAGCCTCCAGTAATAACTTCCTGCTGTAATAACTGGGATTACAGACATGTGCCACCAGGCTGGCTAATTTTTCTTTCTTTTTTTTTTTTTTTTTGGTAGAGAAGTTTCACCATGTTGCTCAGGCTGGTCTCGAACTCCTGAGCTCAAGTAATCCACCCACTTTGGTCTCCCAAAGTGCTAGGATTGCAGGCATGAGCCACCACACCAGCCTAGCCTTTCACCATTAATACAAAATTAGCCTTGAGATTTTCACAGAAGCCCTTTATTAGGTTAAAGAAATTCTCATCTATTCCTAGTCTGTGGGGTATTTTTATCATGAAAGGTGTTGGAGTTTGTCAAATGCCTTCTCTGTTTTCTGTTGAGATGATCCTGTGGTTTTGGTCCTTTATTCTTACTAGGGTGTATTTCATTGATTAATTTTCAGATGTTAAACTAAGCTCATATTCCAGGGATAAATCTCACTTGGTCATGGTGTATAATCCTTTTTAGATGTTGCTGAATTTGGTTTGATAATATTTTATTGAGGATAATATATGCTTTTGTTACTTAACATTTTACCACTAGCATTTTCCTCTTTTAATATTCTTCTGAAATATAAATTTTAGTATATATATCTACCATAATTTATTTTCTTATAAGACATTTAGGGCACTTCCAAACATCCATTTATAAAAATGTATTTGTAGTACACATTTCTGTTCATAAATCTCTGCCCTATTTTCTGATTATTTCCTTTAAAGAGTTTTCTAGAATGATCACTGGATTAATACCTATAATAATTTATTTAGATTCATTCATAATGCCAAACTACCTTCCAGGAAGACATCAATTTATAGTCTCAATATGCAATAAAATGCCAATTTCACTATCTCCTTGCTAACATCAACCCTTATAAAAAACGTTGCTAGTTCAAAAAATAAATGATAGTATTTCTCATATTGGGGATATAAATTTCTTAGATAAGCTATCTATTCAAGAACAACTGGACCACTGAATTAAATGAGTGCAATGCTATTTTTTAACAATTTTTATGTGAAACAGTATCACAGCAGGAGAAAACAAACACAAATATCTAGCTGATTCACATCACGGTAAAACCCCTTTTAAAACTACTTTCACTTTATTGGAATAAGATACTTTTTTAGTGACCAGTTTCTATAACCAGTTCATAACACAGTTTACCAAAGGAATTTCCCCCAAATACATTAAATTTTTTTCTTTCTTTGTTCCTTCAAGCCATGTATTTTCATTGGAAACTTAACGACCTTAGTTTTTCAGATAGCAAGAATATTTTTAAAGGAATGTAAATGGCGCATCATTTCAGGCCACATAGAGATTTTAATCAAATCAATACTTTAACGACTTCTTTAAAAATCCACTGTTAAGTTAGATAAAAGCATATATAGTACATGGCACTTTCTTCCCCTGAAACTTGACTAAGTTGATATTTTGAACAGCACAGTGCCATGAGATGGCTATCAGAGATCCTGCCTTTTTGGGAAAAAATGAACTATCCTAACTAGTGGCACACAGCAATTCTTTTTACATTAAGAAATAAAAGAAACAAAAGAGCTCCAATATGGAGATCAGTTATCCTTAAAGTAAATGAGAGAACATCTAATACTACTACTATCTTTTACCAAAACTTGCTTACGTTACTAAAAAACAGTGGCACTTTCTCTGAACACTTAATTTCTGTAGGTATTACAAGCAACCTAGTCTTATCTGTTTGTTTCTCTAAAATGTAGCAGAGCTTCTGTCATATAATCAGCCCCAATCAATCACTGTTTGTAAAATGAATAAACCAGTAGCAGCAAATTAGCCATGTCAGTTTTTAGTTTTGAAACTAAGTAACTGACATGTCTTGCCTTTGTGACCTTAGTGAAGGCAGAGGTCACCGGACAAATAATTCTATATTTTAAATTCAAAGTATAAAGAAAACAGACCAGCTACTATTATGGTCATTCTGCAAGTAATATCTCTTCCTAGAACTACCTACAAAAAAACATACTGGGTACTACCTTTTTCCTTATCTTGCTATTGGGATTATCCCTTGCTCTAATTTCAAATGGAAACATTCTAACACTTAATACATATGCTCTCAAAAATCTGGTGTCACACGAATGAAATGACTACAAGTGTGTGGAAAGAAATAATTCATAAGACCCACTAAAGTAATTTCGTCTAACTTTTTAAACCATGTCTTCTCAGACAAAAATAGATTGCCATAAAAACTCGTATTTACTTAAGATTTTACCTTTACAGTAGACTGGAAGCATGATATTCTCTGAACTTGTCTGCCAGTATCACTATCCCACACCTAAATTTATGTTAAGAAATAATTTCTAGACAGAATTTTAAAATCTCAATTATAACTTTTCTAATTAACAATTAAACCACAAATGTTAAGCAGTTAGAAATTCTTTAAATAAAACATAAAATACTTAGTGTTTATACCACCACAAAAATGAATTCATATAGTGAGTCATCAACTTAGCAAAGCAGGCTTATGGTCTAAAATAAGTTTGAGGTAAATTTTACTATCAAATTATTTGAAAATGCCAACATAATGATTGGTCTGAAGTACTGAATCTTTACAAGCACTAAATATTGCAACTGTTTAAAGTTTATTCTCCAGAATAGTCTACCGTAATCTAATAAGCATAAAGTACTTATACCAAAACTATCATGTCCATTAGTATTTACTGAAAGCTCCCTATAATGTGGATAGCATGATTTACTACTGTTATCTTGATTCGAGAAGACACTAACAGTGTATTACCATTACCTGTATATGCATTTAACATAATCAGAGGGCCTCTCACAAAACATCTGAGTTTAGTTTGACTTAAGAAGCACAGTGATTTTCAAACTTTTATACCATTTCCTATAGTAAGAAATACATTTCACACCATGTCTGAAAACACATTTACATACATGTATGTACTATGGATACAAATGTATATGCACATATTAAAAATTGAAACTAATTTCACAACTAGTTAACCTTATCATGGCCAATGCCTTTTGTTATATTTTTATTATACAGATGTGCCTTGACTTAAAGTACAGTTTTCTCCCGCAATAAACCCATTCTAAGTGGAAAATATCCCAAGTCGAAATGCATTTAACACACCTATCAAACATCATAGCTTAGCCTGTCCTAACTTATATGTGCTTAGAACACATACATAAACTTATAGTTGGGCAAAAAAAAAAAGGCATCTGGCAACACAGTACACTGTAGAGTAAGGCTGTTTACCCTTGTGATCTCACAGCTGACCAGGAGCTGCAGCTCCAGGCAGCTGCTGCCCAGCACTGGTAAAGACTATCATCCAATGTATCACTAGTGTGAGAAAATATCAAACTTCAAAATTCAAAGTACAGCTTCTACTTAATGCACCTCCCTTTCACACCATCATAAAGTTGAAAAACTCTAAGTCAGACCACCCTAGGTCGGGGACCATCTACATTCTGTGTCATGTTTTAGATGGAGCTGGATTATCATGAGAATTACGTTTTATGTATATAACACATGAAACAAACTGCTAGCATACAAAAAGTGCTCCCAGTAATTAGGAAATGTTTTCTGGCCTTGTATTTACCACAATTCTAGTAGTGTCTCACAGCCTTTTCACTTATTTCACTTTTTGCAAGCAAAACGTTTAATATTCAGTAACTTGAGCTCTTAAGGCTATTGCTTTAAAAAATTATCTACCTTCAGTATTTAATTAAGGAAGTTAGTTTTTACAGGTTGGGTATCCCTTATCCAAAATGCTGAAGACCAGAAGTGTTTCTGATTTTTTTTGGATTTTGGAAAATGTGCATATATCTAATGAGCTATCTTGGGGATGGCACCCAGGTCTAAACACAAAATTCATTTATTTTTCATATACACCTTATACATACAGCCTAAGGTAGTTTTATACAATATTTTTGGCAATTTTGTGCATTAAATAAAATTTTGACTGCAACCTGTCACATGATGTCAGGTATAAAATTTTCCACTTGTGGCATCACGTCAGTGCTTAAAAAGTTTTGGATTGGCTGGGCGCGGTGGCTCAAGCCTGTAATCCCAGCACTTTGGGAGGCCGAGACGGACGGATCACGAGGTCAGGAGATCGAGACCATCCTGGCGAACACAGTGAAACCCCGTCTCTACTAAAAAATACAAAAAACTAGCCGGGCGAGGCGGCGGGCGCCTGTAGTCCCAGCTACTCGGGAGGCTGAGGCAGGAGAATGGAGTAAACCCGGGGGGCGGAGCTTGCAGTGAGCTGAGATCCGGCCACTGCACTCCAGCCCGGGCGACAGAGCCAGACTCTGTCTCAAAAAAAAAAAAAAAAAAAAGTTTTGGATTTTGGAGCATTTCAGATTTTGGATTTTCAGATTAGGGATGCTCAACCTGTAGTAAAAACGCAAGCAGAGTAAATTTAGAATTCATCTGGGTAAGAGAGATTGCCAAATAAGTGGCCTAGAATTTTTTTCTAACAACAAAAATCATTCAGCAAAGGAAATGAGTTCATACTATCATTTACAGGTAAAATTCATAGTGACACTGTCCCAGCTACTAACTTCCGTACGTAATTTTAATCACTGCCTTAAAATATTGTTATAGTGTCTTAGGAGTGGTCTAACAAAGTATTTTAAATTCTATTTCTGCAAAGATTATACTGATATCAAAAAAAGAGAGCTTTATTTCATAATATTTGCCTCTACAGAGTAGCAATCAAGCAACTCTGACCTAACCATCTGAGTGAATTTTACGCCCTTGTTTATGTTGTATCGTAATCACAAACATACGTGTGTGTATATATGTATGTATGTAGAGAGTTTATCCCCCATTTAAACCTTTTCTTGACATTTTTTCAGCTATAAACAATCTGTCTAGAAAACACTTCAGCTGATGAATTCATTTAAAGCACGTTAAAGTCTGTATCTTGGTTCTATAAGAACCTAAGAAATACCTATACCTTTGGGCTTACTCCAAAACTTCATCAATGCTTGAACTGTTTAAACAGAACTTTCAGATAAGCATATACTTTTAAAAATTAATCTGACTGGGTACAGTGGCTCATGCCTGTAATCCCAGCACTTTGGGATGCCAAGGTGGGCAGATCACAAAGTCAGGAGTTTGAGGCCAGCCTTGCCAATATGGTGAAACCCCATCTCTACTACTAAAAATACAAAAAAATTTGCCAAGTGCAGTGGCGCATGCCTGTAGTCCCAGCTACTTGGGAGGCTGAGGCAGAAGAATCACTTGAACCCCGGAAGTAGAGGCTGCAGTGAGCTGAGACTGTGCCACTCCACTCCAGCCTGGGCAACAGAGAGCGATTCCATCTCAAAAAAAAAAAAAATCTGACACCTTTTTTTTAAAAAATAAAAGTAATGAGAGACAACAGTAATCCATAAGCACTTGACTCTGGACTTCACAAAGCCAGTTCCACATACAGATATTAAAGGGCTGAGTTTGTTTACAGAAAACATTTTATGAAGTACAGTGGTTTGGGGCTCTGACTCTGCAGTCAGACTTGCCAGTTCTGCCCTACACTGGCTGTGTGCCATGGGGAAGTTACTTAGCCTCTATGTGACTCTATTTTTTCATCTGTAAATAAGGATAATTAAAAATAAGGCCAGGCGTGGTGGCTCACGCCTATAATCCCAGCATTTTGGGAGGCCAAGGTGAGTGGATCACCAGAGGTCAGGAGTTTGAGACCAGCCTGACCAACATAGTGAAACCCCATCTCTACTAAAAATACAAAATTAGCTGGGCATGGTGGCACAGGCCTGTAATCCCAGCTACTCGGTAGGCTGAAGCAGGAGAATCACTTGAACCCGGGAGGCACAGGCTGCTGTGAGTGAAGATCGCGCCATTGCACTCCAGCCTGGGCAATAACAGTAAAACTCTGTCTCAAAAAAAAAAAGGAATAAGTAAAAATACCTATGTCAAAGGGCTAATTTTAAAGATTAAATGAGTTCACATATGTAAAACAATTAGAACAATGCCTGTTACACATAAGCACTTTACTACTGCTATTCCATCTTAACTTTTTACCTAAAAGTGTGGGTAAAGAAAAAGTAATTTTCCTTTTATAAAATTGTTAATTATTAAATATTAAACACTCAACAAATGGTAATTCACTTTTCTGTCAGACTCAGATGCTCAAAAGATTTTTATGGGTTGGGACTATTTGGTTTCTTCTGCTCTGTAGTGAGGAAAAAAAAGTAAATTATTCTCCAGTCCAACTCATCGTTGTTTCCCTAAATTGAAAAGTAAATTGAGATAATAAAATGAATTATTTTTAAGTCCACATTCTTCCATTTTATCAATTTTATACAATGTGAGAGAGTAACTCTGGAAAGAACAGCAAGAGTCGTGGAGTTTCCATCAATAACAAGCCTTAACCTCCTATTTCCAGTCTAATACTTATCAGATACCTAATAAATGGTATCTCATAATAGAACAAAAATCATTTTTGCTGTAACAAGAATATACAGACAAGACCCTATCAGCTAAAGACTAATAATGTATGTAGTGGCTCGTTGGGCCACTATAGCTTGTTCATTTCTTCCAGATTAAAGGATACAATAACTGTTCTATCAGCAGAGGCTGTCAAGATGAGTTGATTTTTTTCTTCACAAGATTCCAAGGAAGGAAATGTAATAATAGCTGTTATCTTTTGAGTGTGTCCATTCAGTTCTAAAAGTTTTTCCCCTGTCTGAAATACCAATAAAAATGTTAATAGGCCTAGCTTTCACAATTTAGATAATCACAAATGACAACATTAAGTAGAACTGCCATATAGAATATACATATACATTCCATTTAAAATTACTTAGAATTTAACTTAAGCAATCACACAGAATCTAAACAACTGCTGAAAGTATAGCCATAAATAATTTTGATGATTTTCTAACACAAAATGCTAATTTTTAGTATATTTTTGTAGAAAATTTTAAGGAGTATTCTTTTCTATAAATTTAAAAATGTAATTGTGTAAATTAAGCATAAAAACATCAGTAACTTAGTTTGCAGAAAAAAAATATGGAGTCCTCATTGTCCAAGTATTTGTTATTGAAGTCTCCACAGTTATAAGGTCATAGAAGAAGATAAAAGTCAGCATAACAACTGTATATGTATCTACATACACGTAAGTATATATATCCACTCATTTATTAACCACTTAGAAAGTTAGTCTCCACTCCATCGCTATTTAACACCAACATCTATTCCTATCCATCCAATGTCTTCATCTATCAGTCTCTCACCAATTTACCAAGTAGTATACATGCAGAAATACAATGTAAATGGCAAATCTTTCCAAGATTGCAGGACTTCATGAATGTGGTGAAAATAATGTTAAAGAACTGCTTTTATCACAGGCAAAGCCATTGAATAATAAAGATCTAACACAGTCAGACTAGGTAACAATCCAAAATAAAGGTGAGAGGAAGATAAACACTTCGAAAAAGAACAATTTGAGTAACAAATGATCAGGAAGGGAGGCTCTGAAGAAACTGATGAAGCCTTAAGTATTTATTTTTTAAAAAGTCTTTTTAAATATTAAGTCAAACATGAGAAAAATGTCACATTATGCTATTAAGCAATGTTGAAAGAAAACTTGTGTGTCTCACAAAAAGCAACACAATTCATTTATTCATTTTGGAAGTCTGGGCATAGCTACTGATAACCTAAATTTTGTTAAATAAGATTAAAATTTTGTATTTTTTGAATTTTCATACTTTGGCATTTGTTTCTTAGGAAAAAACTTTTTTTTTTCCCCCCGAGATGGTCTTGCTGTGTCACCCAGGCTGGAGTGCAGTGGCATGATCTCCCCTCACTGCAACCTCAGTCGCCTGAGTAACTGGGATTACAGGTGTGTGCCACTATGCCCAGCTGATTTCTAGTATTTTTGGTAGAGACAGGGTCTTGCTATGTTGGCCAAGCTGTTCTCAAACTCCTGGCCCCAAGTTACCTGTTCGCCTTGGCCTCCCAACGTGCTGGGATTACAGGCACGAGCCACTACACCCAGCTGGAAAAAAAATCTTAATTTAAAAAACTTTCCCTCTTCATTATGAAATACTGGTCCCCACTGTATATGGATTTATCCTAAGTAGCTCTTTTCAAATATTAATGTGTCAATTAATGATAATGATATGCAAATGTATCCCCAGATAGTATTTATATGAATACATACTCAACTATATAATCATATCTTTATTACACAATGCACACACAATCAATACACACCTGAGCATTCCACACAACTACAATTCCATCATCACCAGCAGATGCAAATCTGGTTAGGGAAAAAGGGTCAAGAAAAAAAAAATCACTGTTGACATTTAATTACTAAGATTAAGAACTATCAAACCTTATTAGTGGTACTTTGACTTACTAATATTAACGAAGATCAAGTTCTTTGAGCTAATTTTAAAAATATTTATGAAACACATTCCAGGTACTGTGCCAGGTATGAAAGATCAAAAGATAAATAAGACATTTATAGGTTTACAAAGAATAACCTGCTAGAAATGTAAAAATAATCTTTAAAGTCCTTCTTTGCTTTCAAATTCTATGATTTTAAGAAACCCTTGACTTAAGTGAAATGAAACCAAGCTGAGAAGTGGCTTCAGTGATAGGAAGTGATATTCCAGGGGTGGAACTGATCACAACGTTAAATTCATTACTTTATTATTCTGTCTGTAAATAATTGTATTTAAAGTCAAGATCTATCCTTTGCTCAGTTCAATTCCTTAGTCTTTCCACATAAATGCTTTGCTCTTGGTTTGGAAGGTTTGAGGACTTTTTTGGGTTTTTGTTGTTTTTTAGTGAAGATGCTTGAAATGCACAGGTAAAGTTTGTCTCATGGCATGAAAAATGAGCTGTGACACTCTACTATAGCTTCTCTCTCCTTTTTACATCCCATTCACCATATACACAGGGACAACAACCAAATTCTGTAGAGTAGAAGATACCCTTAACACAAACACTATCAAGAGGAATAACCTGTCATACAGGATTATTCATCATCATATTATACTAAAATTCACCATCATCATATTATACTAACCCAACAAAATAGGATACAATAATCACATTGTAAGCATGTCAAATAATTTATTGTTAATGTTGTACACAAGTTTGTAAATAATTTTTAATGATTCAGATCAATTTAAAGCTATCCCCATAATATCGCTTTCACTCAAATCGAGGTTTTTTCTTTTTTTTAGTAAAAGAGAAAGAAGTGGTATTAAAGAGAGCCAGCTATGAATGACATATAACTGTCCCCCGATAATTAACAGATGCTATGTGAGCATCTGTTCTAATGAATTTTATCCCTTTATAACAAAATCCCACTACTTCAGTCATGAAATACTTTCCTTAACACTCCAAACTGAGTTTCATGTTCAAATTTCTTAACTTCAGTTTCAAAGTTCAGTGCCTTCACTGGCTCAGACAATTCCCATACTCAGTTCTTATTTCAAAACCCTTTGAGTACATCTACTACTGGTAGAACTAAGATTATTCAGGAGATATGAGATTGATCAAATACAGTCTGACAAAGTCTTTTAATAATTTTTAAATACAGAACTACCTATCTTTTTAATGGAAAGGACCTTTTAAATTTAGGTAACTGGCTAAAAATCACATAGTTATTTTTAAATTCACGCCTATCATTTATTCTTATTTTAAAATGTGAGATATAAAAGATCTAGAGATTAAAAAGAAAATGATCATTTTAAAAATAAAAATAGATTTCCTATGCTTAATTATCTACATTTTCTCAATCAGATTAGTAAATAGTACCCTGAATATCAAAAATAGTTGCTGGAAATAAATCTTTAGCAGCTTATGTTTCTGGGCCTATTGATTTCTTTTTATTCATATAGTGACAGTGGGGAGGGCAGGACTCAAGGTCTTAAGTGTTCTTTGGTATAAAACATCAATTTCTATTGATTCTTTAAACTCTTATAATTGCTTTTCTGCCATTTAGAAGACTGCAAGTTTAAAATACATACTTTTTTTCTAACCCTAATTTTTAACTTCTTATGATTGTTTTATCATGTTTGACTTTCATGAGTTCACAATGAGAGATGACTGAGAACAGCTGAGAGTTTAGAAATGGGATACAGAGCATTTCACCTCAAACTTTAATTCAATCAGTAGAGAACAAAAGTTAAATCTAAATAAGGCTCAACAGTAATGCATGAAATCACAGCCAATTTTTTATTGCTCCAAGGTCAATTACCTGGTTGGTAGATTATTCAGGCCTTCTATTCTTATATATATTCTATTGCTACCATTTTTTTTTTTTTTTTTTTGCCATTTCAATATTTATTACTACCTCCCCTAAAAAGGAAACTTTAAGCTTTAAAATACAAACCAGTATAACTTTGATATATATTAGTACCTGTCATAAAAAAACGAATAAAGGGTTGAGATATCATTCACAAATTACAATTATCCATCCTACTATGATGGATAATGAAAAACTAGCTATACTATATCAGTTTATCTTAAACTAAATCCTAGTCAGTCAAGCATACACTTCAACCATCTGCAAATCAGAAATGGAAATACAACCCAAGGATTCCTAATTGTAACTGCTGAAAAGAAGTAATGAACTATAAAATAAAAAAGGATTAAAATGTCAATAAGTTTTAAGCTATTCTATCCAATGGAAGAATAATAATATTGCCAGAAAACATTTTACATACTAATTTTTAAAAACACTCTAATAGAGGGCAAAAACTTAAGCCTAAAAATAAGATTTTGACAGAAACGTTTCTTTACCGATCAGCAAAAAATGTATTTAGTGTGATTCCGTGCTAGGAGTTAGGGAAATGTCAAGACACCTGACATGTGGTTCTTGCTTTGAGATCTTAAAACTTAATGAATGTTTAGAAATATACCGTATTTCATCAAATCTAAGACATCAATTGTAAGACACTCTTATTTATCATTAAGGAAAACATACTGCCAATTACAATTGAAAGACACAATTATATGATGTGTCCAAATTTTAGAGATGTTAAAATAGAAAAAAATATGCTTGTTAGAATCATGAACTATAAGAATTACCATATTTATTGATCTTTATCTTTATAACATGGCACTTGCCAGTCTAATAAATCTCTGATTACCTCTGGCAGGTTTTAAGTGCTAAAGAAATGCTTGTTGAATGAATAAATGAATGCATAAGCAAACATTTAAGTGTTCAAGGGCTCTGTGAAATAGATTCGTTAATGACAGTAATGTAACCCCATATTTTCCTTTCATTATAATTAATGTAAATATACTACCACAAAAAAATAGAAATTTAAAAAATTTAAAACCCAGAAACCTGCCACACAAAAGCACATTTCTGTATTTTTTCATATTCCTGTCCAATTCTTATCCATATACGTCATTTTTTTTTTTTTTTTTTTTTAACTTAAAACCAAGTCCAAGATCACGCCACTGCACTCTAGCCTGGGCAACAGAGCAAGATTCCATTCTCAAAAAAAAAAAAAAAAAAAAAAACCCAAGTCTTTAAAAATACTCCTTGAGATTACAAAATTAAATGACTAAGCAAAAATTATATTCATGAAAAACAAGTTCAACAAGGTGAAACATGGTTTAACAAAGACCTATGGCAGACCTTCTAGAATGTTCCATCCTCTCATCCCCTAATTATGAGAACTAAATTTATTATGATAGCCCATAAGTTACTCGGTCATTCAAGAAATCTTACTAAGCACTAACTATATAGATGCTTAACCCTGAGAATAAAGATCAAGAGATTGTTCTTGCCCTTCAAGAACTCACAGTCCAACATTACTAAGTGATGCTATAGGGTCTAGATCATGAGTCCTTAGAGAACTCTCACTTACAACCATCTTAATGTATAAAAATAATTCCCTCTAAACACCTTCTCTTTGAACATCTCTGAGAAAGTGTTCTCTCGTTCCTTCCAACAGTGGCTGAGACGACAGCAAAGCTTAATAAAGATTTGTAAAAAATAAAGTTTGTATACTCCATTAGGAAACATAATTTCTGGCAGTCATTTTTGTGGGTGTGATGTTAACACCCATCAATAATCATTGCCTGAAGTCATTATTACATTTATTTACAATAAAATAACACTGAAAAAATGCTGCTACAATGCTAGAAATGAGACAAAACTAAAAAATAGCACAATTTTCATTTAAAGTATATGTTTGTATGCTAGAACTAGTTGAAGAAAATTAGAGAAGCATCCAGAGAGAGACTTGTAAAGCAGCTGAAGGAAATTTCAAAGCATTTTCAGGAGCCATAGATGCTGACACAACTAATTCCTTAATTAGATCTACTTCAACATTAATTTCTTTTCCTTAAAAAAGAATGTATTATATTAACACAACTCTAACATCTAAAAGTCTAAAGTCTTTTAGCTCACAAATAAAGATTTCATAGTTCCCATGGTTATTTGCAAAGGTAAAACATTTGGTAAGTTCTTCCCTCCCCAAATCACAAATAGAAAGCTAAACTGCACATCAAGATTACAGTATTAGAATACCAAAAAAATCTCTGTGACTTCTGTTAGGTGAACCTCCATTCCCCTGCACTCAAGTTTCCATGGAGGACTCCTATTATTAGAGAAACATTCTTGGTCTCTCTCTGCCCCACTTGCTTGAGACAATGAATTAGGCATGCTCAGTTCAGACCCTTGTGGGTTTTCTGGTTTTTTGTTTTGTTTTGTTTTGTTTTTTTTTTGGAGACGAAGTCTTGCCCTGTTGCCCTTTTTTTTGGAGATGAAGTCTTGACCTGTTGCCCAGGCTGGAGTGCAATGGCACGATCTCAGCTCACTGCAACTTCTACCTCTCAGGTTCTAACGATTCTCCTGCCTCAGCCTCCCGAGTAGCTGGGATTACCGGCACCTGCCACCACACATGGCTAATTTTTGTATTTTTAGTAGAGATGGAGTTTCACAATGTTGGGCAGGCTGGTCTCAAACTCCTTACCTTATGATCCGCCCGCCTTGGCCCCCCAAAGTTCAGGCACGAGCCATCGCGCCCGGCCCCTTGTGGGTTTTCTGAAGATTCATCTGTTCACAGAGAACATACTAGTCTGCTCTTATTTTTGAGGTAAGCCCGTATCTGAATGGGAGGCCAGCAACTGTTCAGTTGCCCCAGGGATTCATTAAAAAAGTCTCAGGTTGAAGTGTAAGGAAACCCACTGTGGGTGCATATTAAAGCTACATCCTGGCCAGGCACGGTGGCTCACACCTGTAATCCCAGCACTTTGGGAGGCCGAGGTAGGCAAACCACGAGGTCA